GGGCGGGGTGGGGCGAAGCGCGGGCGCGGGCCGTTTGTGCGGGAACATCGCGGGCCTAGAAGGATGGGGTAAGGCGGCCCATGCCCCGCCCCGCCGGCACGTCGCGGTTTTGTCGCCGTATGCCTGCTCGTGACATCACTCGCTAGCGACAGAGGAGGCGCGCGTGCGCGGCGGAGGCAAGTTCCTTGCACCGGGCAAGAAAGGAGCAGCAAACAAGTTTACACCGAAAAGACACTACAAAAAACCGTCGTAAACTTACGATATATTTTGTAATTAATATTTACAAAATATGTTGTGAACGCATGACACCTCAAACTTTACTTATCGATGAATTCCAAATCGATTCATATTGTCCTAGTAATTCTACAATTCTGAATTTTAATTCTACGACCCGATTCAAGGAAAATTTTCCAGTAAAATCTACAAGTGGTTCTCATGGTGGAAAAAAACAAAAAAAAAATAATTCACGTGTTTGCTATAACTATTCCTTTTGCTATAACATATACATTATGGCCATTGCGAGGGTATGTCTTTTCAGGCAATAGGTCGAGGGGCGGTAAGGGAAGTGGGCCCATGAAACGGTAAACAGGGCAAGGGGGACGAGCATAAAATAATTCTTTAAAAAAGGGGGTAGGGGTGAGATCGTCAAGTTTATATAATGAGCCGGCGGCCACACCGTTATAAATGCGCGTCCTACTTTATTTTTTCGAGAGAGGGGGGGGGGAGGAGGCCATCTGAGTTACATGGCTTTTAGCGAACACGACTGTTTGGGGACGTAAACCTGCCCTCGCGACTCCTCTTTTCCTTTTTAGAAGGGATTTGGAAATGCAAATGAGATGGAAGAAGTGTGTTCCCGCCGTCACAGGGAGGCCACCGTGGGGGAGGAAAGGGGGAGGGAAGGGAAGGCTGCGGGCGGCGGGTGGCCACGGCCTCTTAATGAGTCATCCGTCTTAATTTGTGCCCGTCTAGTGAGAGCAACCTGCTCTCTCTCTCTCCCTCTCTCTCTCCCCCTCCCTCCCTCTCTCTCATCCTGCCGCCGGGCGGTGCGCCCCGCACCCCGAGGACCAGACGCGACGGGCACCCCGAGGGTGCCACCGCATTGGCCACCCGTTGGGAGGAGGGGAGCAGTCGCCGGAAATAATTGTTCAACACTTCTTGAGAGACGCCGCGCCGCCCGCAGCGTGTTTTTGTTACAATTCGCGTTCTGAAGGGGAAAGGCGGCCACATCACTGCTGTAACGCTATACACTGATGGGACTAACGAGCGTGAGACGGTTTCACATTACTTGCGGCCTGGTCTGGCTGTGGTTTTCTTTTTTTTAAAAAGCTGGAAACGTTTCATGGATGCCTGTTTTTAGTTGCCAAATACGTTGAAAAAGGGTGAAGGCCACCTCCAGGAAAATTATACTGGTTTCTGACCGCGCTTTGGCGACCTGGCTTTGCCTTTTTCACCTAGTGTAACCGCGAATTGTATTTTCGGCCATAACTTTCAATTAACACTATACCGCCCCGGGTTGAGGACTTCCTTTTCCCGTTGAATTTGAATTATTTAATCTTATTACTGTTAGTTATCATTGCTGAACTGTTGTTCAAACTCCTCCCCCACGCCACCCTGCTCACCTGTGAGGGCGGCGGCGTGGCGGGCGCGCGCGCCCGTTCTTACTTCACGGTTTGCGGGCCTAAGGCTGTTTTTTTTTCTCTACGTTTTATCCCCTTTTTTTGGGTCGTGGTACGACGGGTCGTCTCCCCGGCAGGGGCGGCAGGAGGGAGATGGGCCCATCTGCCCGGAGCGGGCTGGGAGTCTGGTCCGCCTCCGGGGCAGAGACGCCAGCCGCCCGGCCGCCGCAGGCAGCCGCCAGGCCTAGCGCGGCAAGGCCAGTCCACGGCCAGTTATTTCGTCATGTTCCATCTTATCAGGGGGTCAGGCACAGCCTTGGTCGCTTCCTCTACGACCTCATCCCCAGGCGCATAATCCCCGCCCCGCCCTGCCTCCCTCCCCGGCACCCACCACCCTCCTCCCTCCCTCCCGAGCTCATATCATTGGCTGCATCTGGAAAAGGATGCCGCTATAGCCTTCTGCTTTGCCCGCGGGGGGCAAGGTGAGGAGTAGAGGGACGGAACTCAGGAAGGGGGGGGGGGAGAAGCAGGGGTGGCTGTACGAAATGTCCGGAGGATTGGGGGTTGACGACCAGTACCTGGGATTTAACGTGTTAAAGTTTACAATCAACTGTCATTCGTCACTCGCCCTACAATCTTTAAAAAATTAGTTTAAAATTGCGCTAGCAATTTCCACTTTAAATCTGTTCTTACCTAAAACTGTAGATTATTTTGACATCCTCCTTTGCCCTCACTTCCTGGCCGCGTTTTCCTCCCCCCGGTGTCACTCTCTTGTTCTCTGTCTTCTCCCCCGTCTCCCTCCCACACCGTCTCGTCGCGCTGCGGGTATTTTATGGAAACTCTCTTGTAGTCCACCTGCAGGCGCCCACCCTCCTCCCCTCCGCTACCGCGCTGCTGCCGCCCACCACCCCTCTCGTGCCCGCGTGCCCACCCGCCTCAAAGCACACCGTTGCCTTAATACTTGTTTTAAGGGTCCTCTTATTAAAGC